GGTGGTGGGGGGGAGGGGGGGGGGGGGAGGGGGGGGGGGGGGGGGGGGGGGGGGGAGGGGAGGGGAGGGGAGGGAGAGGGGGGGGGGGAGGGGGGAGGGGGGGAGGGGGGGGGGGGGGGGCGGGGGGGGGGTGGGGGGGGGGGGGGGGGGGGGGGGGGGTGGGGGGGGGGGGGGGGGGGGGGGGGGGGGGGGGGGGGGGGGGGGGGGGGGGGGGGGGGGGGGGGGGGGGGGGGGGGGGGGGGGGGGGGGGGAGGGGGGGGGGGGGGGGGGGGGGGGGGGGGGGGGGGGGGGGGGGGGGGGGGGGGGGGGGGGGGGGGGGGGGGGGGGGGGGGGGGGGGGGGGGGGGGGGGGGGGGGGGGGGGGGGAGGGGGGGGGGGGGGGGGGGGGGGGGGGGGGGGGGGGGGGGGGGGGGGGGGGGGGGGGGGGGGGGGGGGGGGGGGGGGGGGGGGGGGGGGGGGGGGGTGGGGTGGGGGGGGGGGGGGGGGGGGGGGGGGGGGGGGGGGGGGGGGTGGGGGGGGGGGGGGGGGGGTGGGGGGGGGGGGGGGGGGGGGGGGGGGGGGGGGGGGGGGGGGGGGTGGGGGGGGGGGGGGGGGGGGGGGGGGGGGGGGGGGGGGGGGGGGGTGGGGGGGGGCGGGGGGGGGGGGGGGGGGGGGGGGGGGGGGGGGGGGGGGGGGGGGGGGGGTGGGGGGGGGCGGGGGGGGGGGGGGGGGGGGGGGGGGGTGGGGGGGGGGGGGGGGGGGGGGGGGGGGGGGGGGGGGGGGGGGGGGGGGGGGGGGGGGGGGGGGGGGGGGGGGGGGGGGGGGGGGGGGGGGGGGGGGGGGGGGGGGGGGGGGGGGGGGGGGGGGGGGGGGGGGGGGGGGGGGACTTCATGAGCCCTTTTCATAGTGGCCTTCAGGAGTCAACAGCCCTAGGAAGTGATGTCAGGGTGGGGAGGTTGGGAGGGGGCCATGAGGTCCAGAGGTAAGAGGAGATATTTTTGAGGACAGAGGGGTCACCCCACGTCACTGCTGGACAATAGTCTGGGGCCAGGAGTGGAAAATCTTGTTCTTACTTGGGCTGAAAATAGCACAAGGCGGCAAGGTCAGAAACCTCACCCTCCAGGCAAGCAGTCTAGCTAGATGTTCATATTGAGGGACCAGGCAGTCTGACTAGGCCCATCCCTGGTTCCTCTAGGGTCTCCATTCCCAAGCCCCACCCATGCCACAGAACTAGATGGTAAGTAAGCCCTCCCTTCTGTCCCTCAGGTTCCATGTCCTCAGAAATCTGCTGGCAGTGGTTTAGGAAAAGCTTCCTGGGACTGGGACCGCAGTGTGGTCTCCATCTACAGGGGATGCTGGATTTCCGGGTCACCAGAGCAGCTGTAGGACAGGAATGGGGACTAGGGAACTTGGGCCTTTGATGACCATAGCTCCAGCCCCAGCCCAGATGCAGAGTAGGGGGCTCTCAAAGTCATGACACAACTCCCTACCTCCACGCCTCAGCAGGGCTGAGAGCTCAGAGCTTTTCACCGGGGAAGGGCTCCTTCCCCTGGAAGGATGGGGTTCAGCAGCAGCTGGCAGGACAGAGATAGGCTCAGGCCAGCAGGAAAAGACCCAGGACAGTCTGAAGAGTAGTCACCAATAAAGCTCAGAGGGACCAGCTACATGAACGAAACAAAGGACCCTAGAATGTAGCGGGTGCCAATGGCTCACACTTGTAATCCTTAGCTACCTGGGAGGCTGGCAGCACATGAGAACAGCTGGAGAGGCCTTTGTGTGGATGTTGAAGCTTCCCAGGCCATGTCCCTGTCCTCCCACCACACGACAGAGCACAGCTCAGCAGGCAACACAACCTTTAGTGTATATTACAGCCTCTAACACTCCCAGCCTACACAGCCTCCAGAGGTTTACAACATCGGTTCCAGATGTTCATCTCTTGGGCCAGGGGTAGTTCAGTCCTTTGAGCTGGGTTCACTGTGGCAACCTAGTCCCACCCCGACTACTGAAGGAACTCAGCCCTGACTATGTACTGGGGTTCTCTGGTCTGAGACTCCATACCCACTCCTAGCTCAGGCCCAGACTCACCGGGTGATCTTTGATAAGTTATCTTCCTCTCTGGGCCTGTTTCTTCCTTTGACTTGATTATGCAGGACCCCAGCCTAGTACTGGGCAGGAATGGCCAAATCTGCACGGAATCAGTGGCACGGGCCCTGAACACTTGCCTTCTCCAAACCTGATTCCCCAATTCTCACCAGCAAATGAGACTGGGGCTATCTACGGAGCCGGCTGACTCTCTGGACCACATGGAGAGCATCCTGAGACCTTGCCAAATGACAGAGTCACTAATAGTCTGATCTGGACACTGTTCCTGTTTGAACAAGCCCGATCCCCTATAGCTCTGCCACATAAACCTGCACAGGCCCGAGGAGCTCAGGTCCTAGAGTCGGATGTCTTAGTGTTCTCACCCCTTGAATGGAACCTGAGTCCTCACTGCTGGCCAACACTTTCTCTTGGTGTCACTTCTGCCAGACCTGTGCAGGCCTAGCCGGCAGTGAGCCTGGGGGACAGAGGTAGGGTCTGTGGGTGGCTTGGCATCTCGGGCAAAGCGGACAAGCCTCTGCCCTGCCAGGAAGTAGAGCACAGGGTCAAGGCAACTGTTGGCACTGGCCAGTGGCCGGGTGATCTTGTATGCCATGTTGATGGCATTGAGGGTGTGGCAGCTGAGATCAAGTGAGCGGAAGGAGTAGTAGAGGGTGCGGGTGACGTGGAAAGGCAGGAAGCAGAGGTGAAGACAGCCAGCACCAGGGCAATGGTGCGCACTGACTTGCGCTTGGCCCGTGGCAGGCCTCCCGTGGTCCCGTAAGCTGGCTTGAGCAGCCGCCGTGCCATGAGCACGTAACAGACCAGGATGACAGCAAAGGGCACTGCGAAGAGCAGGCCCAGCATGACAGAGCTGTAGGCCACAAAGTGACTGAACAGGTCAGGAGCTGAGGTGTCATGGCAGGTGATACGGGCCCCGCGCACACTGGTGGTGACAAAGTAGAGCACAGGTGCCTGGCAGGCCAGCACCAGCACCCACACGACTGCTGCCACCCGGCGGGCATAGTGGGCCCTGCCCCAGCGCAGGGAGTGTAGAGGACGCAGGACGCCCAGGCACCGGTGCACACTGATGCAGGTGAGGAAGAGGATGCTGCAGTACAGGTTGGTGTAGAAGAGGAAGCGAACCAGCTTGCAGAGCACTGTGCTGAAGGGCCAGTGGTCACCCCGGGCGTAGTAATAGACCAGCAGTGGCAAGGAGGCGGCGTACAGTGAGTCGGACACAGCCAAGTGGAACATATACGTGGTGGAGGCATTCCAGTTCTTGAGGCGGCACAAGAAGATGTAGAGTGCCACAACGTTCAGACCCAGCCCGAGCACGCACACCACACCGTAGGACACGGGCAGTAGCACATACTTGAAGTCCTCGTTGAAGCGGCACCTGTAGCCCAGCTCATCTCCATCCCAGGTGTCATTGGTGGTGTCATTCCAGGGGCTCAGGTCTGTTGCCATCACCCTGTAGGGAAGGGATGTGTGGGGAGGAAGTCATCAGGTCACAGTTGAGGCTCAAAGTGAAGTAGCCTGACACACCCACCTCACCAGGGCTAAGAGGGACTCCAAGTGCCCAGAGATTCCCTGTTAAGATGTGCTTAACTATGTCTAGGGCTTTTGTTGTCATCTGACCTGCATCTCTCCCTGGACCCAGAACCTCCAAACTCTACCACCTCAAGAATGTGTGAGGTCCATGAATATCAGCCATCACCTAATTCTAAAACTTTAGAACAGAATGGGCAAACAATAGCCCAGGGCCAAATCCACCCACAAGTCTGTTTTTGTAAGTGAAGCTTTGTTGGAACACACCATACCCCTGCAAAGTCTCAAAATGTTTACTATGTAACTTTAAAAGAAACATGCTGACTTTGCTCTAGAACCTCAGGATAAGAAAATTCTGAGATCTAGAATTCTGAGCTCTAGAATCAGAGGGCCTAAGGGTGGGGTCCCAGAGAAGTATAATTTCAGATTCATGGGAAGGGGACCTGATGCGGACACTCCGTTGTACCCTAGTGCCCACTGCCTGCTGAGGTGTTTCTGGCCAGGGCAGCCCACATCTCTGGAGCCATCACAAAGTTCACCTTTCTCCTCTCTGGGAGGCTAGAGTATTTCTAAGAACCTTCCTCTTCCATCATTCATTCTATGTTCAAAAAATTTTTCTTTTAGGTATACTTATACTCTAGAATTTTCTACATCTGCACACAGTAGTCCAGCCTACAGATGGAATAATGACCTTCCTGAAAAGTCCAGGGAAGCCTGAGGTCTGGGGTAGCACTGGAGTAGGGAGTAGAGGAAGGCTTCTTTTGTAAGGCAAATTTAGCTTCTTCCAAGCCTAGCCAGTTTCTCCTTGCACACCATCACTGTCCTGATGTTCCCTTACTTTGTCCCTATTGAGTACATGTCACATGGTATCTGGTCAGCTAGCAGACAGTAAGGGCCTGGAGAGCAGGATGCCACCTTCTTCCTCTCCTCACCCTACCCATGGACCACTAAGAGCTCTCTCAGACCTCGATCTAGGTAGGTGGTGCACACCTGTAGTCTCAGCACTCAAGAGGCTGAGCAGGAGGATCATGAGTTCATGGCCAGCCAGGGCTACATGGTGAAACCCTGTCAAGAAAAAAGGAAGGGAGGGAGGGGAATGGAGGGCAGGGGAGGAAATAAAGAAGGTAAAAGAAAAAGAGCTCTCTCAGCTGGAGGCAGGGGACAGATATCCCTGTATGAAGGTCACAGAAGTGCTCCAAAGTCCTGGAAGGCAATCTAAAAATCATAGCAGGAGTCCCAGGTAGATCCTCAGACCTCTTATGGGCCAAACCCCAATCTTGGAGAACTGTAGCCCCCAAACTTCCCTCAGAAGGAACTTCACCCCACTGAGAACAGGAAGGGTGGCTTCCTCCAGCTCCAGGTGCATACCCATCTCCCCCACACTGCTGCTCTGCTCCTGCTCCGGGGCTGAGCACAACTGGTCCCTCCTCAGAGGTGGATCAGGCCCCTCCTCCTCCACAGTTAACATCTCACCACTCTGCACAAAGTTTTCTGCGGTCACTAATGGTGGAATCTCTGACACTGAGAGGTGGAGTGGAGACTTCCCTGTGAACGGAGAGCACTGCCCTTTCCACCTGTTTTAAGAAATCCTGGCCACTGCCCCAGGCCAGCTGGGGACTCCATCACTGTGGCTGTGGTCCAGACTGACCCTGCCTACCCTCTTCCTCCACAGGCCAGCTCACCAAACTGTGAGGTCATCTTCCTAGTCCCCAGTCCCTGTTTTCCAGAGATAGCCAAGTCTCTGGTCTTCTCCCTCAGGCCTCCTCTCTGCCTCTCCTGAATCCAGGCCGTGTGAAGACTACTCTACTTGACTTTCTCACCGGCCCTTCTCACCTGTCACTAGCCCTGCTGTGTCCAGTTCTGGCTGGTCCTGCTCCGGGAGCATGAAGATATGAACTGTTTGAGGAATCTTCCAGGCTTCCCTGCTTTGTAGATGCTGTACTTTGTGTGTGGAAAGTCTTTCCAGAACCCACCCACACTCAGGCTCAAATGTGCCTTATCACTGCAGTCCTCCCCCTCTTCCAGTGCCCCTCAGGCCATTCTCAGGACTTCTTGGCAATTTGTCCTTCCACCCTCTACTCCAATACATTCCAGGTGCTCCTTGAGGTCTGGGTCCATCTGATGCTTTTCTCTGTCCTTATTCCCCAGAGAGAGGCCCCACCTATGGTAGCTATTGCAGGAAATAGAGAATGAATGAATGAATGAGTGAGTGAGCTAATGAATGAATGAACAAATGAACCATGAGAGGCTGTGGGATCCTAGAGGAGTTGAGCTTGATAAAGGTGCCTCTCCTTTTCCTCCCACCTTGGAGGGCCTGGTCTATGGGAGATTAATGGTGCTTAAAGATTTCTCAGCTGCTAAACCTAGGTGGCCAGAAGTCAGCCCAACTGTCCTGGGGGCCCAGCCCTCCTGTCCCAGACAAATTCCTGAGCTGTCTCCCCTCCAACAGATTCAGGGGCCCAAAACCTCTGTCCTCTGCCAGGGCCAGGAAATCATCAGAGGGTCAGATGTAGGTATTCTAGAGACCAGTCAGCTATCTGAGGCCAGCCAGGAGATTGGCCCATCTCTGGCTTAGTTTGATCAGTTCTCCATCCTGGATTCCTTCTGCTATCCTCCCAGTTCTGTAGGGACCAGGCTAGGGCTGAGCAGCTTCTGTGAAGCATCTTTATACTTCCATGTCCACCCTTTGATAGATAATGCCATAAAGATTAGATTAAGTTATTTGTTTAAGGTCACACTGCCAGGAATTGGAAAAATTAGGCTTGACACACAAGGCCAGATCTATCTGGGCCAAAACCTGAATTCATCACAGTCTGGGATAAAGAAGCAGGGCAAGGCACCCATCTTTGATGCCCTGAATCTGACCCAGGTTCTGTGCGCACACGCGCAATACCAAGCACCAGCCCAGCCTCCCAACCGTGGCCCCGCCTTGCACACCTGTACCTGACCAGCCCCTGCTCTCGCTGTCAGGATGCTCAGCGCCTGCTCAGGTTGCTCACTCATGAATGCACAGGCTTGGACTGGCTGCTGGAAGCTCTGCAGGAAACAGGAAAAACAGGTTTCCCGGCCTAGGACCACACCCGGCCTCCAGCATTTTTCAAGGCAGGCAGCTGCCGCAGGGGGCTCCTAAAGACACAGGGAGGTGGAAACCGTGTGGGCTCCAGGTCATGGGAAGCCAGCCAGGCCAAGCCATCCCAGGGCTGCCTCCTCTGCTCTAACCTTGGCCAAAAGAGGCAGAGAAGGGATCTGGTGTGCTTGTCCTGGTCAGAGTACCCTCTGCATACCCCACTTCCCATCCTATCCCACTGTCTACACCCAGCTTACATGCTGTAGGGATGGTCTGTTCATAGCCTCCTTCCCAGACACTCCTTCTCCTAGGTTCAGGAGCGGGTGCTCCTGAGGAGAAGACCTCCTCCTGTATCCTGGAGGGCTGAGCCCAGTCTCCACTGTTCCTTCCCTCTGTCCTGGCTCTGTCTTCAGCCCCACAGCAGGAAGTGATCAATACTCTCTTTGCCCAGCATACACTGCACAGTACTGCCAACATACCTTTGCCCAGGCTAGATCTCTAACTAGAGTCCCCTCCTCGCCTCTTCCACCTCTAGGCATTCCTCCTTGGGTGTTAAAAACACACAGGCACAGACATACCCAGACACATGGACCCACAGAGGTGCACACAGTCACACCCAGATGCTCAAGCAGTGCACACATCGACAGTCTGGACAGTCAGGGCATAGAACAACCTTTGGAAATCACTTGTGCTAAACCCCCATGCCCACCTGCTTCATTTCTCTAATAAGGAGGAGTGGGATCCCCAAGCCCCAAGGAAGAACAGTGCAAGGGTGGGAGAGGAGAGGAAGATGGGCAGCTGCAGGAATAGGCCTGGTGCCTCTGGGCCACTGTTTACTTAGTTCACATTGTCCTGTCATCTTGGGTTGACATGGGCCAGTGGGTAGGATGCTATCTACCTATTTACTCTAGAATCTAGTGACAAGATGAAAGAATGTCACCTTTTCACCCCTCTCCTCCCAAGTGCACAGTCTGTCTCCCCCCCTGGGAAATGCCTTGACCACTTTCCCAAAGTCATCCTCCCATTTTTGAAAAGGCCTCCTCAACCCAACAAGGTTTCAATCTCTCTCTTCCTCACTCCACTTGAAGCCGGTCACTCACCAAGTCCTCTTGGTTCAACCAGTGAAGTTCTTCAGACATGCCCCATGTGCTCCCTGGGCTTCTAGAAGGACTACTGCACCCACCTCTTTTTTTTTTTTTTAATATATCTCTGTGCTTTACAGTCAGCAGAGTCCCTTTATTTCTTAAATTATTAATTATTATTTTTTTTATTCATATGTGCATACAATGTTTGGGTCATTTCTCCCCCCTCCCCCCACCCCCTCCCTTACCACCCACTCCGCCCTCTCCCTCTCCTCTCCTCCCCACCCCCTCAATACCCGGCAGAAACTATTTTGCCCATATCTCTAATTTTGTTGAAGAGAGAGTATAAGCAATAATAGGAAGGAACAAGGGTTTTTGCTGGTTGAGATAAGGATAGCTATACAGGGAGTTGACTCACATTGATTTCCTGTGCATGTGTGTTACCTTCTAGGTTAATTCTTCTTGAACTAACCTTTTCTCTAGTTCCTGGTCCCCTTTTCCTATTGGCCTCAGTTGCTTTTAAGGTATCTGCTTTAGTTTCTCTGAGTTGAGGGCAACAAATGCTAGCTAGTTTTTTAGGTGTCTTACCTATCCTCACCCCTCCCTTGTGTGCTCTCTCTTTTATCTTGTGATCAAAGTCCAATCCCCTTGTTGTGTTTGCCCTTGATATAATGTCTGCATATGAGGGAGAACATACGATTTTTGGTCTTTTGGGCCAGGGTAACCTCATTCAGAATGATGTTCTCCAATTCCATCCACTTACCTGCGAATGAT